TCCGGCAGGGAACACTGGGCGTGGATGGTCGTGGTTGAGGTCCGGCAAGGAACACTGGGCGTGGATGGTCGTGGTTGAGGTCCGGCGGAGGAGGGCGAGGAGGAGGAGAGGGAGAAGGAGGAGGAGGAGGCGGAGGAGATGGGGCTGACATAAAATCTAACAACCCTCACCTGACAGGTGGGGAACAATCTAAGAACAAAACAAGAAAAAGGATTAGGAAAATAAGAAAGAACATATTCTAGTTGTGACCCTGAGACGTTCAATTGTCTATGGTCTAGCGGTCCAACGCTTTAAGCCTCTATATAAAGGTGCGTGGACAACGCGCATTGATCTGAAGTCCTTCATGGCTTGCCGCAGCTCACGTTCGTGAACCTGGCTCAAGGGAAACTGAGAGGCCGTAGTTCTTCATGCTGCCAACCAAAATGATAAACCTTTGCCCACCTGTTCGCTGATGCCTCTGCCCAATCATTTATTGAATGTGCCTCTGGTCAGTCCAACAAACGTCTTATCCATTGCGGCCCATGCTGCCTTACTGCCAATCGCAGGCTGGTATTCAGGGTCCTGCAGGGCCGTGTGTTTGCATCATTTGGAGCCAGGATTGGTAAGCACTCCAGATTTCTCAAGCTTGGCTTTGTTGCAGTTAACCCCCAAGGAACATTAAGTCAAACACTGTATAGAATCCAATGCTCACTGGATCCAAACTCCACCGTAGTCAAAATGGAGTTGTTTGCTTCAGGACATCCCAGTCATGTTCAGACCTGAGCTCTCTTGTAATCTTTCAACGGAAAAGATTGACCAAGCTCATGCCTTTGCATAGTCTGAACTTCCGTCCATCAAACGGAGCCACCACTACAGGGGCTGTTCGTGCACATTGGCTGGTCCTTGATGGGTTTCCCCTCACGGAGGTCCCGAAGCATCATCATCACCAGGGACGACGGCTTGTTGGATCTTTCCAAGTGCCTCGTCGGGACTCACTGGACGATTGTTCTTCGGGGACTCGCTACAGTAGGAGGCTTTGCACGGCGAGGAAAGCTGGGGTCCAAGTCAAAAACGTGTTGGATGATTGTGGGACACCGTCATTGTGCAACAGAAAGACTTGAGCTCAAGGACCCCAGCTGGGACATGACAAATGAGAACCCAACTGGGTGGTTCCCGCTCGGCCGGAGTTCCCCAGCAGGGAGTCCCCGCCCAAACAGAACTGGCGTCTTCGCCCCAGGTCTCCCCGCTTAGCGAGCTTCGCCAAGTCATTGTCGATGTCTGCGCGGTTTTGAAGGACCTGTGGCCAAATGCAACCCCAAAATCGATCAGGTCGCACCTTTTGTCGCAGCACCAAAACTCATCCAACTTAACGAAAACAAAAATCGGTCCGAAATCGTTTCCTCCCTTCTCAATGACAGCCTGATGTCTTGAGTTCCACAAGGCATCCCGTGTGTTAACGAAAACGTGCCTCAGCCAGCTTCACGGCAGCCTGCGCATCCAAGCGGTTTCTCTTGGCGAAGTCGTGAATCTGCACAGGTGATCGACACACAACGTGGAGTCGCGAATCCGAGGCACAACAAGTCAGTGCTACAAAACGGGAGGAGAGGCATGATGTTGATCCAAAAGAAGTCCAAGAATCCCAGGCAGATTCTTGATCAATCTCCAGGGACTCTAAACTCTTGAATGAGAATCTCAAGGGAGCTCCTGTGAGGGGTGCAACAAAATAGGAACACCAAGTGCGTCTCGCGAGGAAATTCTTTGCCTTGGAAATGAAGGCATCCTACTCCTTTTGTTTGATGATCTTCTTTCCGCTGTACGTTTTTGAGTCATGATCTATATGTATTTGGAACGGTGCTCGGACAACCCCAAACTCATGGCTGTGGCATCTGTCATGGCCTTCTTGTCAAGTGCCGTCATCCCTTTGAACGTGCCCATGCGCATATCTTTTAGCTTCATCATCAGCATTCCTATCAGGGGGCAAGGAAGGAGCATGCCAAAAGGGTGGCACTTCCAGCAGCGATCGGTATCTTGCAAGCTCTCTGTTCTGTCTAGCGGACAATTGTAACCCTTCAAACTACACAGGATGCAGAACATCTGGAAAGTGTAAAGCCAGCTGCAGGACGTCGCATGAAAGAAAATCCAGCACTCATCCCATCTCCTGATGGGTTCTTTGCCCCTTCCAGCCCCACCCAAAGAGCTTGCAAATCAGACTCAAACCTCAGCAGGTCGTTTGAAGGCGTGTAGTCTGTTCAAGGCCTATATAGAGGCCCATAGGCTGGGCCCAGATGCGTCGAAATGAGTCAGCCAGGCAGTAAATAAGGATCTGCAAAGCAGCAATCTCGTAAATGTTTTGTTGAAGGTCTTGCTCCTATGGGTCCAATCTGTGAAGGTCTTGCTGCCATGTTGCGTATCTCTTCGCTTCTTCATTTCTTCATCAAGCGCGCGAGTAGCTCGCTCATCTGCAGGGCTGAGTCATCGTCGGGGCCAGTTGTTCAGAAGGGTTCAACTTCACAGTGGAATCTACTTACGGGGCGAAAGATGACACCCAAGCTCAGATGTAACGAAGCATCCCTGGATGAAAACACTGTGCTACATTTCGGGCTGTGCCTAAGCTGTGGTATTCAGCTAGCTCTGCCACTTGCGGATCGATCCCAGCACTTTTGATCTGCTCGTACTCCGTGGCCACTTGCTGAAACCTGTGACACAGCGGGAGATCCATTTCGTATCCCAGAATCTACAGACAAATGGATACTAGGCTTGTCAGATTAATGTTTGGACCACTACCATCCCTCCGAGCCTCATCTGCGCCAAAGCCTCCGAATCCAAGGAGCCTGGTGGTGGCATCCCTAGCTTCGGCATGGGCGGATGCCCAAGCCCGGGCGGCAGCCCAGGCAGTCCGGGCAAACCCCCCAAGCCAGGCGGCAGCTGCAGCCCACCAGGAGGCGGCGGCAGGAAGGGCCGAGCACCTCCAGGAGCACCTGACAGAGTATTGCTGGGCTCAGTCATTCTTAGCACGACAACCGGTACTTGAGCCAACCACGGCCAACCTTGAGCCCAACAAACAGCCGTTCACTAGCAACAATGACTCATGAGACTTATACACCAACATTATGAACTCGTGCCTTTCGTTTGAGCAAGAACTGCAAACCAACGCCAACCATTCGGCCTGGCAGTTGAAGCCCAGGCGGCAGCTGCAGTTGCCCGAAGCCCGGTGCACGAGGGTCCAAAGCGGCTAGGCCCGGAGGCAACAAGGACTGCGCAGTGGGAGCTCCAAGGCCTACTGGTGCCGTGGGAGGCCCAGTAGGCCCTGGGGCCCCTGGCGCCCCTGGGGCTCCAGGCGCTGGTGGAGCAGTTGGCAGGGGAGGTAGACCTGCTGGGGCGGGAAAGCCTGGTGGTGCAGGTGGCAGACCTGGCGGCGGCAGGCCACCAGGTGCTCCGGGAAAGCCTGGAGGAGGGGGGAAGCCTAAAGCTGCTGGATCCAAGGCTCCTGAAAAGCGGTCAGGGATGCTAACTTGTCAAAGCCCTTCTACCTAGGAGAGAACATTCAGGGTCAAGAAATTGAAGCGATTGCGTTTTGACCCTGCAAATGGTCAACACGTTAAGAAACTAACAGAACAGATTCTGAGAAGAAAGAGAAGACCTCACAGCAAGATATAACCTCTAAATCGCACTTGCAAGTGCGATCTGTCCTTCGGAGGGGTGGTTGCCCTCGGGACGTTCGCTGGTTACAGGACTCACACAGCATTGAAGCCATTGGTGCGCATCAAACAAGCCCTCTCCTGCCGGAACACTAAGTGGCGCCGGAGCATCTCCCTCTCCACCGCCTTCCTTGGATGTGGCTCAAGGCAACATCACACTGGTAGCATTCGAGCCACGAAAACTGGTGGGCACGTCATAGACATCTCATGAACTTTATATACATTTGCATTGAAACCGAAGCTTGCCAGGCGCGTAAAGCTCTTGTAAAGTGACAAGAGATGGTTGTCAATTCGATTCGTATCTCCAATGATGTGCTTGGGTTTCCAAAGGTTGTAGCAGCAAGGTGTTGCTGTTTTTTAATCAATCAAGTTTTCCCATCAATGCTGCTGTGCCGCTCCACCACGTTTTCGACCCATCGTTGCCTGCAAGAGGGTGCAAAGAATCAAACATGTTAGCGTTAGCTGAAGATCCTTTCTGCACTGCTGGGACGATTTCCGAACATCTCTGGGATTGTGGACCAGAAAGTGAAAAAACGTGACAGTCAGACCATTCTGGGTCAGGGCCTCCGGGAGGCTTTTTTGGTGGCCAGGGTCATACCCTGATTTTGAGCCAGAAGGTGACACGGTGACACACAGTGACACATAGTAACACGGGCAAAGCGAGCAACACACCTCACTGATGAGAATCGAAGAGGGTCTCTTACTTCCCATCTTTCCTACCTAGAACTACTAGTTCTTTCATTTCCTTCGCCATGCCGCGCCAAACTCAAGCATTCGCAGGTTGAAGGTCCAGTTCCGAAAGAGGAATTCTCAGCTCCAAGTCCAAGTCCAAGTTCGTTGCTCTCATCGGAATGAAAGTGCCTCCGCAGGACACATGGACATGGGCATCCCCACACACCCTCAAGATCAAAAGCAAAAAACGACACCCGCAGTGGCATGCAGAAGCTTGTCTGTGCACCTCCCATTGAATCTATCCATGAAACAAGAGATCCAAAGCAATGGAACAAGCTGACTACTCGCACACAGTGGTGATAGGCTTGCTCAGGGCGCTTCAAGTGGCACCGGTTTTTGTCCATGAAAGGCAGGCCTTTGTGTGGCTGTGGGAAATAATCATGTGTCGGTCCCTAGATGTTATTCCCACAGGAGATCCAAGCACTTTGATGTTGCAACCACCAAGTATATAGACATTCACTAGCAGGCTAGATCTGTCATGGATGCTCTCTTGCGTGTTTGAATGGCAATGCACACCAAAACTAAGGAACAACTACTTCTTGTCACGGCCTCTGATGGAAGTTGCGAACGGACAAACGCATGCATCCACTTGCAAAGTGTTTCTCCTGACGAGCAGCACCCGGCGCGTCTGCACCATGCTCCCTTGGAAATGCGTGGTGGTCGCGAGGGCTCTGGCCTAAGCTGCGAAGCTGCAAGTTTAGGAGTTGTTCACTGCTTTGAATAAACATCGATCCATCAACCCTGAGCTTTTCGAACAAATCTGACAGGCATCACTGCTATCACAAAAGAGCTTTGAGGTCCCCAAACAGCCACTCACACTTGTGTAACTGAATTTGCAAGGAGAGCCAATGCCAAGTGATGGAACGAAGATTGGTCCAGAGATGATTGGTCAATGAAAAGCAATGAGCAACATTAACGTGACACCGTCACACCTCGACGCGCCCACGCTCTGGGTCCTCTGGGTCCTCTGGGTCCCTTGACTCGCTTGATCGGACACCGACCTGGAGGAAGATGATGCGACGCTTCTTTCCAGAGACGGGACGACGGGACGACGGGACGGGTAGAAAAAAGGGAGAAAACCCTTAGATGTTGGTTAGCAATTGTTAGCATCCATAGACTCTATAGACTGTTGGTGCTCTCATTTGCGTGCTCCCATATGTGTGATGTCTGGGCATAGCCGGACCACCGCCTCCATTCTGTATCCCCTTTTCCTCTCGCCTGGGGTGCATGCATGGGAGGTGGTGGCGTCGCAAAGATCCTGGTAGAGCCACGAACACGAAGAAAGCTTCTTGGTGTTGCTAGAAAGCTTTATTGGTAGATGCAACACTTGTTACTACTAGCGATGCACTTGTTACTAGTAGCTTCTTGTTACTACTAGTAAGGCACTTGTTACTAGAAGCGATGCACTTGTTGCTAGAAAGCTTTATTGTTACTACAGCTGAAACGATTCGCACTGAAACGATTCCCAAGGAAGCTTCTAGTTCCTCGAAGCATGGTGGCTTCAGCGATTTGAAGGAAAAACTCGGTGAAACTCGAACTTCGCCGCGAGGCGAAGCGCGCTCGGTTGGGTTGGTCCACCTCCACGGGATTTGGACGGAAAAATGGCATGGCTCCATGCGGAGGAGAATGCCGTGCAGATCTGTTGGAAAGATCATTGGCTCCAAATGAGGGAACCCGGCATTCTGACCCGACCATGCACAAATGTACACGCCTGCCACCATTCCCCAAGAATAGGTTCAGGAAACAGGTCAAACTCTCAAACACCTTGTTTCATGTGGAATGTCTCACAAAACATGCCCAGAGGCCTAGTCTTACCGCAAATCCTCCTCACCCGAGGAGCTCCTGGGAGCTGCGCTTGGAGACAAAGATGCCTCCGTGCTGAACCTGCTGATGGATTGGAACGTCACTGCCCGACTTCATGGGAAAAGGTCCAAGAAAGGAGATCTCCAGAACATGATCCACCAAACTCACCAAACCACTGAATGGTGGCATGTTGCCTAACTTTACAGGCCACCTGGTCTTCAGTTTGTATGTCACTGTTTCGCTAGACTCGGCGATTCAGCACGCATGTCTCGCTTGTAGGCTGCGTTCTCTTTCAATCGGAGGCTTTCTACAACTGACCCTGAAAACGTCTAAGGCCAAGGCCCCTGGGATGGTGCCATCCTCATACAAGGCGTGGAAGGAAATGTCCAAAATGAAGGGAAGCTGGAAATAGCTGGAAAAGGATGTAAGAAAAATAGAAAGAATTCAGCTGGAGAGGAATTCATGTTCGCGATAAGCCTGATTCTGAGGCAGCGACGTCGATAGTCCTCACATCGACAGGAGCTAGAGTTCAAGCCCGCCCCATCCAACTCTACAGGGTATCATTTTTTTGGCCGCCATTCCGAAAGAAATTCCAGATCTCAACGCACGACCTGACCGTACCTGTCCTCCTCCTTCTGGCAGCTTCGGTGCATGGACTGGAGGAGGATGCTGCGGCATGTGCATCCTGGGAAACTGAACCGTGTCTAGAGTCTAGGCCCGGGTTGGATAGACCCTCTGAAGACTCTTGGTCCAATGGTCGACGTCGTGCATCTATGGCTGGCTTCCTAGCTGGAGGCTGCAAAGAATGTCAGCAAGCTTACCTGAAGGGTGCACCTCTGAGTCATCACTTGAAGAGGAAACCATTTCCTTTTACTCCTTCAGTGCACAGCCAAGAATCGACTGCATTTGCGAGGGCAGCTGGTCTTGTTGCTCTGGCGAGAGCTGCTGTTGGAGCTGGTGCTCTTGCAGCTGCTGTTGTTCTTGCATCTGCTGCTGCTGCAATTTTTGTTGCTGTTGTTGCAGCTGTTGCTGCTGTTGCTGCTGCATTTGAAGCTGTTGATGTTGGACCTGCTGTTGCTGTTGCATTTGCTGTTGTTGCAGCTGTTGCTGCTGAAGCTGAATTTGTTGTTGCAACTGCTGCTGTTGCTGCTGCAATTGCTGCTGCTGTTGCATTTGCTGTTGCTGTTGCATCTGCTGTTGCTGCTGCAACTGCTGCTGCTGTTGTAACTGCTGCTGCTTTTGCAACTGCTGTTGCTGCTGCAGCTGCTGTTGCTGTTGCAATTGCTGCTGCTGTTGCAGTTGCTGTTGCTGTTGCAATTGCTGCTGCTGTTGTTGCAACTGCTGTTGTTGTAAAGCCTGTTGCTGCTGTTGCAACTGCTGCTGCTGTTGAAATTGCTGCTGCTGTTGCAACTGCTGTTGTTGCTGTTGCAGCTGTTGATGTGGCTGCACCTGTGGCGGCTGGTTTTGAACAAGTTGCTGTTGCTGTACCTGCTGCTGTTGCTGCTGTTGAATCTGCTGTTGCTGTTGCAGCTGTTGAGGTTGCAAGTGCTGTTGCATCTGCTGCAATTGTTGTGGCTGGGTTTGGAATTGTGGTTGAGGGATCTGTTGCGGTCGGAAAGCAGGTATCTGTTGAAAGTTCTGGTATCCCTGCATCATGTCCGGAAAATTGGTCAGGCTTGTTGGAGACCCCATGGGCTGGGCAAGCGAGGTAGGCGACCCAGCTCCAGCGGACCTGAACTGCAATTCGTTCCTGAAATTGAAGAAACAAGCCAGTCCTTTACACATCATGAATCAAGTCTATGGGTTTCCAAGAAACAGCAGCCAATTCCTCCTGCGACCATGTCTTTGCAGTTCCAAGTCACATTCCAAAGGCGGCACCAGAGGCCTTGCTTGTGGGAGAAGACCTTGCAAACTCACTCTGAGCCACAAACCCGAAGATATGTGTTTGTTACAAAGGTGCAGATTGAGAAGCGGAGAAAAAGGGAGCTCCGCAAACATGTGTGCATAAAACGGTTTAGAATGTGTATATAACACAAACACATGTGTGTTTGTGTGTATATAGATATACACACATATTGTATATACAAGAATAGTTGCATGATGTCAACATCAATCCATGTACAGCCTTGATCAAGTATTGCTAACTTTGACGTCTGGTGAACGGGTAGAATAGGCTAGTGGAAACTAGATTGGCAGAGAACCAAACTGTATACTTAGCGGTGTACCAAGAGGTAACATGCATGCACTTGCAAGCATGGTGCAAAAAGAATGAGGAAGGTGACCGAAACAAGCTCAAGCGTTGCACAGCGCAAGAGCAACTGTTGAAGGAGATTGTGGCGTCTGGAGCTTTGCGCAACCTGAATGCGCAATATTTACCCGCAATCCACTAAACCATCCTAAACCCTAAAACGGACTTACCTGCCAAAAAATCACTCTTTCTTCACCAACATCAGCTCCCCATGCACGCCAAAGTGGTTGGAATGTGAAAACCTCAGCTCCCCAACGTCGAGAGGACCTGCATTTGCGACCTGAGGGCCGACGTTGGCCCAAATGGAGAGGGCCGGTGACAGAGCGAGAGAAGACGGGGACGGAGTCACCCAAGGTCAGGCCATCGGTGGCCATCGGTGGCCATCTCCTTCACTGTGGTCTTCAATCTTTTTTGATCGTGGCACTTGTTCCTACTAGCTTCTTGTTACTACTAGTAAGGCACTTTTTACTACTAGCGTGGCACCTGTTACTTCTTCATACTTAGGTAGGTGAGCGAAAAAGGACCCAGTAGATCTCACTGTTTTCCGCCGTTGAAAGGCACTTGCTCCAAAGAGCGACGGTCTCGCAATGCATACCTTCTTGGAACAGAAGCACAACAGGACAATCTCACACTCCATGACGAAAGGGATCATGTCAATATGAAGACCAGTTCCCACATGTCTGAACCAAAAGCAGCACATGTCATTCCAAGACCGGTAAAGACCGATGGCAGCGGCCAAGACACGGGGCGATATTGCCCTGCACCAGCTGCAAGGACTGCGAAAAAGCAGGAGTCCTAGGAGAACTGAGAAAATCCTGTGAACAGTTCTTTCACAGACGTCCAGGGGCGTGGAGAGACCCACGGTCCGCAGCAATACCAAACACTTCCTGATTCTACTCTCCTTGTTCTGATCCACTGCTCCGACTATATACTCCCCTTCATCACGAAGTCAGCATCGCAGGGCCCTGGCGGCGGCATCTGCGGCTGTTGAAGCGACATTTGCATGGCTTGCGGGCTCACAGACCTCCAGCGGAACATGTCTTGGCACGTCTTCTCGTCCAAACCATGGATTGTTGGAGGCAGACTCTTCCACGACAAAGCACACTTTCTCGTAGCAGCCATAAGAAGCCCTGACCCCCCACTGTCCGACGGGGGAAAACACAATGTCGATGCGATGCGCAGGGAATCTCATGATGCTGTGAAGTAACTCGATTTCCTCAACACAGAAGCTATTTCATGATTACTCCCAAAGCCTTTGCCGATGCGGAGGGCCAAGGCTCTGCCGCCCAACACCCCACGGCCGAACACCCGGTCAACACTTGGTCTGAGTGTCCTGGCCCTTGTTCGGGGCTGGCAGGCATGCCAGGAAAGTCCTGAAGGCGAGACATATTGAGAGCAGAACGCAGGACATGAAGGCAGGATCGGCTCAAGGTAACAAACAATTTACCAACTTGTAAAATACGTGATAAACCCTGAAAGCTTTGATAAGGCCTCTTTAAGTTCTTGTTAAAGGGTATGTCGGTCTTGGTCTTTGGTCCTTGTTTCGCATCGAGCCTTGTCAGGGTCCGACGCTTGTCATTTCGTTCAAGTTTGAAAGCCAGTCACCCTTTGTTCAAGTTCAAGGCTCGCTGGCCATCCATGAAATGCTCTCCGCACCCTCTATTGGTCCTGCATTAACCTTTGCTGCGGACTTCGGCACTCCTGTCAAGAATCAGGGTTGGAAAGTTCTTCCAAAGTAATGTCACGTTGCGCAAAATCATGCAAAATCTAACCTCAGTGCCTGCGGCGCTGCAAAACCATGGAAAAGCAGCGGCATGGAAAACTTCTGTCGCGTACGTGCAGAAACAATCGCAACTCTTGCTATTTTTCGCCCGGTGACTAAAATTTTGCCGACAAAACGGCCAAGCTTTGTATCACGGGCCTGATCTGCAATCCCAGTTCAGCTGTTCAATCATATGGAGGCTGTTGGAACTGAGGAACTGAGGGTCTGAGGGTCTTCGGTCTGCTGGGTCATCAGTCCTACACCCTGCAACCCGCCCCAAAATGTGCGCAAAAGCCATCGCCCAAAATGTGGGCAAGACGCAGTTCCATCATTGGAAACAGAACATGTAGAATTTGTCGTAAAGACTTTCAAATAATCCATCATGCACGGCCTGAAGAGGGCCCTTCTATCACTGTCAGAAAGGAAATTGCAACACCATCTTTGTTTTGTTGTCCTGATGCCCAGACTGCATAGGCACGCGTCAACTTCAACTACACTGATTCTCGGAAACTACACTAGAATTGATCTGCAGCACCTGGACACATCATCCAAGTCCAACGAAAAACCTGGGATGAATCTGTCCTCATTCAAAAGCAAAGCCCTCTTTTGAGTCCCACACAACACCGGCTGGATTGAACGAAAAGGAAGCCCAAGCGGAATGGAAATGACTCCGAAAACGAGCCCCGCCTGCCCATTGAAGCTCCGGGGAGTTGACCCAGGAGTCTGATAGAAAGGAGCTCGACCTTAAGAGCGATGGCCTTCAACCTGCTAGCACCCTAAACCCTAAAATGTATGGTATGACTCAAGCATGGTTTGCCAAAACGTCGCTGCAGCTGCACTGCAGCAGAGGAGAAAACGCAAGAACTTGTGGTGCCATTCAACATTATGGATCCTCCATGATGCCCTGAACCGGGCTGTGGCATGGACTGTCCGCAAGTCGCGCTATGGATCCTCGATGAAGTGGCATTTCAGTCCAAATGAGTACAAACCACAATGATATCTATCCACCAAAGTGAACTTGAGTGGACTCCCGTTCTTCAGGTGTCGGGAAAGGACTAGGTCAACGGGAATAACGTATGAAAGTGACAAGCGAAAGTCATTTGACTCGCTGACAGCTCTCACCATCTAGTTTTTGGCACAGCTTTTGAGAGACATGGTACTGTCCACCGCATAAGCAAGAAAAACACACTGTTTTCTACTCAGGACCTTCTTGGTTGACCACTGGCGTGTTGACCTCATCTTACGGATGTTGTGGGTGTAGAGCAAAAAAGTGCCCAAATCTCTCAATAGTGGGTAGAAATGGGGGGGGCATGGGGAGCACCACTTGAGAAATGGTCCCCACTTCATCACAATCCAATGCCAATGCCCATTTGGCTGTCACACCTGGAGCCAAGCCATCGGAGCCGGACTCCTCTGGCACCCGATCCACCTGAAGCACTTTTGCTGGAGTGGGGAGCAAAATTGGAACGAAACATGGGTCTTAGAGGTAAGGGTTCCAAACATTGGGTCCCTTTTCTACAATTGGGCTACGTAGGTTGGGAGGTGTGGGAGGATGGTTCAATCCACTTGTGGCGTCTATTTCAAGCACCATTACTCTTCTCATACAGCCATGGATTTTTTCACCTGCAGCCACTTCCAGCCTCCCTCCGTGCAGGTGTGTGGGCCTTTCGTCGCCTCAATCCAGTGCCAAGACGAGATGTCCGAAAGCCGGGACAAGGATGATGCAAGATTCATTTATATAAAGTAAAGACTGTAGAATGGAAACAAGCTCGTTCCATATCAAGACCATCTGTGCCAACTCCTAATACAGTAGCCAAGGCAACCAGCACAAAAAACTGAAAGCATCTTGGTTCCGTACGATGGTGATGAAGAGCTGCCTTTGCCCTGTCAGCGTGACACCAAGAGATGTGGGCTTCACATCACCTCTGAGAAAGAACTTATGGAGCACAAACAATCAGAGAGACAATCTTCCGTCAGTGAAGAAGTTCTGAGCCTATCCGTGCAGCGATTCATGGCGGGAGTCGAATTTCCATCCCACCGTTCTACATGGATTTCAGAGACCGTTCTAGTTGGATTACAGTAACTGCCAATACCGGAAATCAATCAGTTTCAACGACCAAGTGTGGGTCCCGATTATTAGAGGTTAAGATCTGTGATTAAACTGGTTGCACTTTTAACTTCAAGTGCCAGTTCTGCCCCCTCCGCCCCTGACTTGGAAGCTCAATGAACATCATTTTCTGTGGTTCTCTTCACACCAACCCAAACAGAAACACAAGACGAGCTCTTTTGAAGGACCGATTTGTTCACGGGAGGAAAATGCCGCTTGTCCCAATCTTGCGCCTCATCATCATCACCTCCCTCCTGCGGACAAGGTCATACTCTTGGCTGTGTGGTCTGGCAGAGCAGCTGCAAAGCATGCCAACAACCTCACTCATTTTATATAGTTGCTTGATTCCCTAGTATTGACAGGGTCATGCACCCGCGCCAAGGGAGTGAACACATGTAAGATGGGATAACATGGACTTGTTTCACAACAGGAGCCCAGTTCACACTCTGTCATGCATCTGCCAAAGAAGAGGCATTGGTACAGAAGCTTGAAACAATCAACCCCTCAAAAGCGCTCGCTCGTCAGTCCTTGCTCTTGAAGCGCTTCAGGAAGGCCACAAAGAGCTTCGGGAAGTCAGACTCCGGCACCTCGCTCCGGCAAGCTCCGGTGGGAACTCAACCCGCCTTCTCCCCAACCATCTATTGCCAATGAATGTTCAAGGGACCTAAGAGCGATGGCCTTCCACCTAGCGATGTGGATTCAAAGGTCCCAAAATGCTGAAACTCTTTCGGATCACGAGCCTCTGGACCTGGGTTGAAGCGCTGCATGGCTTGCTGCCGACCTGACAAGGGGTCAGTGCCAACCAACTCGATGTGCCAATAGCCGTTGACTGAACCCTTGTTGAAGTCCAACGCAGCCATCTTGGGGATCAGACTGGCTTCTGGCAACTCTGCCAGCCGCTGCATTGCCATTTTGTCCAGCCTTGGGCTGTTGGCAAGGTCTGGATGCCTCAAAATTGGACCATCTAACATGGAAGTAAGCAGAGCTGGATGCTGCAAGCTGCAAACATCCTCGCAGCCAGAAGATTAGACTCGATCACTTGATATTTTTTCTGAAGGGATAGGTGAAATCCACCACTGCCTTTGTGCCAGTTGTGGGAAAAGAAACTGGAAACTGAATTTGGAAGCCAGATCAACTTACCGAGCAACATGCGCTGCATCAGACCACACGCCCTCGACTCACCAGATCGACTTGCGCCTCCAAGTGAGGCAGAACTCCTCTTGATCAAGGATCCGCGTGGGCACCCGATCCTGACACTCGAAATCAGTAAATCCGGTTTGGAGGTTCTTTCGCAGCAACAGGCGGCCATCAATGTGGCCTTTTTCAGTGAAAATGCACCAGCATTCACTCAAGCAGACCACAACTACCCATTACTAAGCCAAGCAATAGCACAAGTGCGTGTGGTCCAAGTCTGGCTCTCTTGGCTGGCCTTGCTGCTCTTCTTTGGTGACTTCTTCTGCTTCGGTGGCGACTGAATCCCCTGGCAATGGACAAACTAGCATGACTCATGACTCAGCACTTTGGATTCCATGCAATGACAAATCTCTCAACACGGGAGGCTCGAGGGACATAGGCCTCTGTTGTGTGGCCTCTGAGGGCCTTTATGTATAGTGCAAGTGAAGGAACAAATCACACGGCCTCCATCGTGTGCTTGGTGGTGGCCCGAATGAGCCATGTTTCCTCCTCCTGCATGAGCTCGTACCTGCAAGCAAGAACGCATGTCAAACCTTCGAAGCTCTGCGCACGCAGGCTGCTGACCAAGAAAGGAGTGAAAATGAGTCTTGAGGATCCATTTTCTTTGGCCTCGTTTGTGCACAGCAGGTACCAAAGCTTAGGCGTTCTTGCGCCCTGTAGGTGTTCTTGTCCCCTCTATAGGCGTTCTTGTCCCCTCTATAGGCGTTCTTGTCCTTTTGGTGGCGATGCGTAAATAAATGAGGATCCACCCGGTTCCACCCACCACTGGTTCTCCACCCACCACTGGTTCCAGGAACTTCCATAGTGATGAGGTACATTGCTACATGACGTTCTTCCTTGCTCAAGCCGTTTCTTGCCACTTGTACACTTGCCACTTGCAAGAATGCAAGCAACTCTTTACCTGTCTGAACGCAAATTGCTAAATTGCATTATCTCCCCGCTGTCGGACTTGTACAAAGCCCATGCGTACCGCTGCTTCTCCGAGTTGGAACTTTCAACCACTTCCAAGAGATCCTCACCGAAACGATAAACGATTGTTCACATTAATACTGCTATTTAAAGTTTCTTCAAGAAGTACTGAATTCCGCAAAACAGTTCAAAAGAGTGGACAAGTCGATCCATAGCTTTGGGATACACCAAAAATATCTGAGGAACAATCATTCTTTTAACGATCTCTTTCGGGAATCTGTTCGGGAAACATCAATTTGCAGAACAGCCATTGAATTCGGAAAAGTCTGATGCTACCGTATTCCTCTTGGTCTTTGCTCAAATCAAAAAAGATTCATGCCATGAAAGTCTTCGGGTAAATTCCTTTTCACATCACACGGTTGAAAAAACATGCACCTCATAGGAAAAAAAAGCAGTCCTGGGTTTGCACATTTCCGAATAGGTCTTCAATAGCAAGCAGATCTGCCACCGACACAAAGCCTCAACCGCCCAACTTGGAACGTTTGAATAGTGAAGCATAGGACATTTCAAGGGCAAGAATCAAATGCAGCGTCAGACACCCCAAGTCGAACGCTCAATTGGTCACAAATGTTTAGAAGATTACCAAACAAATAGATGAAAGGCATACATTTCTGTCTCAAGTCTTCCAGCAGCTCTGATACTGTATACTTTCTTGCAGTTTGCATGATGCCAAAACATGCGCTAAAAGGCCAATGCAGGGATACGTCCATCAGCAGCAAAACATGGCAACATGACACTGCTCACGATCCACCTCCATTGGTGATGGTGAGGTCCAGCTGCTTCGCACCATGACGGAGAACGTACGACCTGGCCATTTTGACGGCGGCACAGGCAACTGGCGTAGCTCCAAAGTAACACACGTCACATTTGGACACGCGGGTCGCTCAGGAACATGTCCCAAACCGAGGCCCCAGCAGTTTCTTGCTCAGCACAGTGCGTGCGTCATCAGTTTCCCTGGCACAAAGGTGTTTATCAATTTAGACTAGCTGGTGTGGCAAGTTGTGAATAAGGGAATGGCATCAACTAAGAATCTGCTGTAAAGTGCATCAACACCCACTAACCTATGACTTTTGGCCAAAATCAGACGGGAACCTCTGTATGAATTAACTGACCTATCTCAGCCAGTGACGTCAACAAGTGGCATGACATCTTGTTGCAACCACCAAGTGAGAGTGTGCAAAATAGCAGAGGGAAACAAGGCTTCGGGAGGACGAACTTTAAAGGTGCACCCAATGTCCAGCTCGTGCAAAGAAGTCTCAATAATTGCCTGACTCGCATCTTTTCCAACATTTCTGCCAAAGTGGTTGACATTGTTGGCCTTGGGCAAGCAGTGGCTGCGAAACCACAAGGATTCACAAGGAGGCTCTCAAAAACCTATTCAAATCGATGCGTCCGCAGGTCGAGACGTGAGACACTCAATGTCTTCATGACCTGAGCACCATGCTGGGCATCACCGGCCATGATCAAGCGACGAGCCACGGTCTTTTGCTCAAGTGATTCAATCTGCTTTGGCTGGTTTGGTTAACAAGGGTTGCTGTGACCAAGATGATTTGGTCAACTGATTCAACACATCCTGAGTGCAGTTGGGGACTGCAAAGAATCAGAGATTGTATCTTGTGTTCATGCGTTGACTCGAGCCCAACTAACACAACAATCAGCTAAGAACTCTGCATGGCTGAAGCAACGGTCACAGTCTCAATCTAACTTGAGTGCAAAACCAAGTAGCCTCATTTTGAGTTGGTTCACATTTCAAGAATTGGAAACGATATATTCAGTTGTTCAACTATTTAGTTGTCTAACAAAGAGCAAACGTTATAGACAACAATCCAGAACAAAAACGGTTTGGGCCTACCAAAGTCGATGCTGCCATGACTGAGCAAGAAACCTTAACCAAATGGGACAACAATGTCACAAGCATTGGACATTTTACTGGCCTGATATGATCGCGTCTCATACCTAACGCACAAAAATGGTGCAAAGGATCTATGCATGCAGATTAGATGTTTACCAGTTGACCACTAATATTAGCACAATGTGAAGGTATCGGCGAGAATATATGTTCTTGTTGCAACACCTCCATCAACCAACACAAAGCGATTGAATTCATGTTAGGCAGCAACCTTTTCTCGAACCAAGCACTACGCGGTCACACTGATATGAACAAATACTACACATCCAAGTGACTCGAAACTATACAGGCTCTATATGTGTACATGCGGTGTGCAACAAAGTCTGACACCCCGCCTTGATGGTCGACGGAATTAGTTGAACCATCACACAACTTAACTAGGTGGAACTGAAACCGGTCTCTCGCACTCTATACAACCCTTGTGTAGTCACCGTTCCGGTATATATTTCTACACCGTTCCAAACATGAAATTGCAAATTCGATTGTTCCTTGCGTGGTTCAGCTGTTCACGCATCTTCGTCCAAACCGTCAAAACTTTGCAACTTTGCTCAATGCACTTGTATTTGAATTCAGGTAGGCAATAGCCAGCAGAGACTCCTCCCTCTCTTGGCATTGCCTTCCAGTAGGGTTCCCCTGGTACAGGGTAGCGTAAGGTGATGGCCTTAGCCATTGTCTTGTTTCGAATGTCTTTGTTCCTCTTATCAATCTGCCTGAGGAGCAGTGTTGTCTCATCTTGATGCAGGGGCAGCCATGATGGCTCAAGACCAAGGGATCAAGATGTCACATATCCTCCAGGATGCTGAACAGCCTGAAGGTTTGGCAGCTGGTTCCCTTGCACTGGTCACGCTTGCGGGCAATGAATACCGCATGCCCGCAAACCTTGGGTACTATGAATGCCTCGAGCAACTCGAAGACGACGTAGTCAACTTTCTACCGTCTGTTGCCGACATTATATAATGTCTTTGGGTGTGAGGTCGACCTGATTCGGCTTGACACCCAGCAGCCGTTACGGGATCCCATCCACGATACCCTGAGAAAGCATAACAAATTCCAGGTGATTGTCCGACCATGTGTCGAGGTAGGGCACAATATATGGCACTTCCAAAACGATAATAGGCAAGGCTACCCTCGAGCAGTCTTTGTCCCTGCCAATGACCTGGGGGAGAACCGGATAGTGCCTTCTATTCGGCCCCAACAATCCGACATGTAGAGGTAGAACAAGGGCTCCGCTCCACACGAT